TAGGTTGGGATAGGTTGGGTTAGGTTGGGTTAGGTTGGGTTAGGTTGGGTTGGGTTAGGTTGGGTTAGGTTAGGTTAGGTTAGGTGAGATTCGGGAAGGCTAATTTGGGTTATGCTTTGTTAGAATCCGGGAAATGTTGACATTCAACTACATCTCGACGCAGTCCACACCCTATTTATATAATATAATATTATCCCCCGTCGATGTCCAGTTCTTTCAAATGATCTCTTTCCTTCAGTTCCTTCAACTAAAATTTAGTACACATTCCTCATGTCTCAACACGTTGGTACATCCTTGAGTCAGTCAGTGTATAATTTTGTGTATCCCCGCGTTGAATTATGTCACCTGAAACCCAAAATGTAACGAAATACAACGAACAACAATTTGCCCGCAGAACTATTCTATGACCGTAACATCATCATCCCTTCCCGGAGTTCAAGTTCTGGAACGCTGTCGAAGTGTCAGAGAGCGTCTCGTTCTGCGACCTCCGGGCTTACCTTGACATCGCCGAACATGCTGACCAGGTCGTGCGAGCCACTGCCCAGCGCGAGGTGATACAGAATGTCCTGGTCCATGAGCTCAATATTAGGGTTCCGTAGCCTGACGGAGCCATCAGGGTACCTGCACACACACAGAGAACACACGTCACGTCATCACAAGACACAGGAAGCCGTCGTTATCCGCATTACACAGGTTAAAATCCTTCTCTTTCTAGAGGAAAAATGTTATAATTCCTTCCTGCCTGCCAAAAGTTTATTTTGTGTACCTAAACCTAAACAGCGATGGAATATGGAATGATTAATGGTCAGTAGATTGGAAAAGACATGGAAGAAAGCGGTCGTGGCCTATTTTTAAGGTAATGTCCCGGCATTTGCCTGGAGGGACTGAGATAAACCACGAAATTTCTCACTCAGAACTGACGGTCACGGGGTCTAGATTCCAAACATGAAGAACTCAGTCGCTTGTCAATGAAATTATCGTCTTTTACGGAGCCCCGAGTGTCATTACTGTGATGAGAATCGCAGTCCAACACGAGAACCTACAACCACTTATCTGACGCAAAGGTTGATTTGACGGCTTGATAGGCGGTTTGTAAAGTGTTACCTCGAACTATTTCTTGGGGGCACAGCCACATAAATCCCCCATGAAAACAAGTTGGTGGCATTTGTTTTCGGAGCCAGACTGTGTCACGACCATAAGATAAGCTCAACTACATATAACTTTTTCTTCTCCTTATTTTCTAAAATACGACAGCCGGAGAAATCCCTGAATGTTGTTTCAAATATCTGATTGCGATTATTTGAACACGGCCAGAATCTGGCCTGCGATCAAATGTAGAGGCCTGAGGCAGAAACCTGTAGCCCTGATTCCACGTATCGATAGTTAAAATCGATTGTGCGAATTGTCGAATTCTTTACCGTATACAGGAAACTCTCGGTTTACGAACGAGTTCCGTTCCAAGACCTTGTTCGTTATGTGTATCTTGAATTCCTGAGCTTTTACGATACGTTAGCAGCCATTTTAAAGCATTAAAACCATGTTCTAAACATCGCAAGCAAGAGATGATCCTATTATATTATAATAGGGGGAGTCTCGGGTTCGATTCCCGGCGGTGCCAGAATTTATAACTTGTGTTGGGCAAGGCCGTGGTCTAGGCAACACGGAGTTTTCCTCCGTGGCATCCCAACAATTACTCCATTCACACACAGAAGAAGGCAATGGCAAACCACTTCTGGATCATCTGCCAAGAACGTATATGAACAGGTCCCAGTCCGAGAAAAGGATGGAAGGATCCTGTTCATATGGACCTGTCGTCAGACAGAACACTAAATAAATATGGGGAATCACCGATTTCTTTCCCACGAGAAAACATTCTACGCGGCGTGACATGTAAACCAACGTTTTTTTTAATGGCTAGATTAGTTTTATTAACCGAGAACAGTTCAGTATAGTCATTATATAATAATTTTCTGATAATTATTGTAATAAATACAATTTTTAAAGTATATTTATTTAAATCTTACGATTATGTTCACAATACTTTTGGCATTTGGTTTTATAAAGAACTCTAACTATTGGCGACTTTAAAAAAAATGTTGAATGAATTGTGACGTTCGTAAACCGAGAGTTGCCTTGCATAAAAAGAATATCAGAAGCAGCTGTTTACAGGAATTGGGTTATCGCGTAATGTAATTAGTAGGCTTTGTCAGTGTCGTTTAAGTCCACGATAGTTGTCATTCCATTATCGCTAATTGTATCTGTCGCATTTCCTTGTTACAAATGGCTCCTCCCTCTCCTAATCTCGCAACTCAAGTTTAAAGGACAGTAATTACAAAGATTATGGCATCATGAGGCCAGGGGCAAACGAGGATAAGTTTCAATGATAACTTTTAAAACCGAGTCGTGCCAAAATATTGCACGTAATATCTAACAACTATGCTGGACAATATGGTACCATTATGGCGCCTGCATTCGGTTGTTTCTACCTTACCGTGCCACCTCAGAATTTCGAAAGACTGAGGCTGGTCAGGGACCTGATGGGAACACGTTGACGAGGATGTGAGAGGTTTTGGCGGCGAAACGTGTGCTTTCGGGGGCTAAGCCGCGACCAAAGCTGAGAATTATCTAACGTTTAGACGAACATTACATTTGCCATCTTCAGGGTGAATTCCAACCCCGAAAACCTAATGAGAACAAAGGTGATTGTGGGGCTTTTGGGTTGATCTTGTGAGAGTTTTCTGACGTTTCGGTTGGAGTAACGCATCCAACTTCAGGGTAATAGTCTCGTGGACACTTCTATGGAAGTTTTACGGTTAGTTCAGAACTCAAGTCACACACACACACAGGCCAATTTATGTTTTCCAAAAGAGGAGCTACGGATTTTATCCTTGGCAAATCTCGCACGTACAATTGAACTGATGGATTTGCCCATTTAAAGAGGGTAGGAATGAGACCGGTTCTTCTGAAGATGATGGACGGACATGGACCCTCATAAGTGACTGAAGTCAGTTGTAAGAAAAGACAGTTTGAAACATATCTAAAAGGACGAACGAAGCGTTGAGATTTAAGTCCAAAATCCTGAAAGAAATAGACCACTTGGTAGACCTAGGCATAGATGGGAGAATATTAAAATGTAAGAAACGGTCTGAATATTTCGACAGCATTCAAGTTCCTCAAAATGTATTCCCACAGCGCGCTGCAACGAATATTTCTCGTTCCATAAAAGCCGGGTAATTATTTTATCAACTGAAATATAATCGGCCACTAGAGAAGAAATTTGCAGATGAGAAGGGGCGACGCCTTCCGCCGATATTCTGCTTCGACGTTGTTCTCTCGTAAGGATATCAGAAGCCTGTACAGGCACACTTAACAGGCTACAGTATAGCGTAAACATAACTTTTATATGCACTGGGAAACCAAAGAAATATCGTGTGACTCGCTTTATTGCGGTGGTCTGGAACCGAAACCGCAATATCTCCGAGGTATGTATTGGAAACATTTCTGTACGCCGTCAAACGAAATAACCGCAAGATGGCGTCTACTCACCTAGTTAGTTTCACCCTCAAGTCGTCTTCTTCATCGATGTCAGACTTAGCACTTCGACGACCGTCGTGATTTTCCATGGTAACTTCCGCAGAATAACGCAATCAGAATTTGGAGATCGGGAAGGGTTCGGTCTACTGAAAATGCAGGTCGATTTCTTTTGATTGTTTACCGATCCCTCTTTAAAATAAATTGTAAATCACTGGGATTCCTATATATTGTAAAGGAATCCGATTAATTTATGATTAGTTTGACTCACAACACACTGTCGGCTTGACGAAATATATTTTTTTTTTAAAAAAATGTCGTAAATGGAACTATGAACTAGGAGAACTTCGCTCGGAACCAAAACAGTTGGAACGTGTTAATATAAACAATCACGAATCGTCTGAAATTGACTCGATCTCCGCGAACGTGATCGATTAACTACTTTCAAAGATAAACTTAACATCCAGAGTTTCAATCTCAGAAAACACACTCACCTTCAAGTGGTTTTTAGCCTTGCGTTGTAAACGTATATCCTACAAATTAACTCCGATTTAA